AACATTTTATTAGGGGCTCATACAACTGTTATCCCAATCCATACACACATCAATTGTGTAAAGCGCATTTGTACATCGTTTCTCAAAACATTTAATATATATTTTTTAAGTTTGATAACCACTGTTGAAAGTTGTAAAGGGTTTATATTTTTTATTGTAACCAATCTGATTTGTGTGCATGTAGGAGACAAAGATGAATCATTCGAGTTTGCTTCTGAATTGCTCCTCTTGTGAAGAAGAGAACTTGCACCCTCCAGATGAGAAAAGAACTCAGTTGACCTCTAACGTTCACAACCTGCTGACTCTGATGGTAGGACTTCTCACATGCCAGGTAATAAAACAATAGATCCTTTTATGGAGGGTCTCTTAGCTATACTGTGCTGCTATCACAGAAATACCACAAGTGGGTGGCTTTAAGAATACAATTGGTTTTTCTCCCATTTTAGGAGGTTAGAAATCTGAATTCAGGGCACTTGCTCTAGGGGAAAATTTTCTCTGTTGACCCTAGAAGAAAGTCCTTGTTCCTTATTCCCTGGTGCTCTTTATGTGGTGTGCCATGTATCTTCCCCTTTGTTTACTTGGTTTTTTCCCCTTGCCTATTTCATTTATTACATCTCAATATAGAGGTGTTTCAGACATACCCTATCATAGATTGCCAAATGTACTTGACCTACACCCATTTTCAGAAAAAAAAATTCCTCAGCACTTCCCTCAAATTAAAAACTTTTATTCTGTAGCCCATAATCTAGGATAAAGTATATTTATGTGTTTTTGCAGGACCCCTGGGTCATTCCGGAATTCCTACCAGTGGGGCACTTTGGGAAACACTCCCCTACAATAATACAAGGACCCCAAGTGCAAGGTTGATGGTTCAGGCCTACCGAAGGAGAAAGCTCCAAGAGGGAAAGATGAGACTACGTGATCGAGTCAATGCTTTACAGCCTTAGAAACCCTATATCAGTTCCATAGCTGTGGTTTTGGTTTTTATTGTTCCACGCTATTATTGTCTCATTAACAACAAAGAAAACCCTTTCCTACATGAGAGTATACTCACTACAGGGGTTAGGATTTACAACACATAAATCTGGGGACATAACTAAATTGAAAAAGTAGAAAAAAATATTGTTGTGGGAGTAAAGAAAATGAGGCAATACAAGATGGCAGAAAAGGAAGATAAAATACAGACCCTTCAATAAACATACCATTCAGCCCTTCCTCCCTCCTACTTCTTCTTTCTGTTGGTCTTTCTTCAACACCCAAACCCACAAAGCCACAGTAAGAGATATCATTTAAAATGTTAATCTAAAGACATTAATTAAAATCCTTCATTTAATTTTGGCAGTTTCTGTGGAGTCATCTCTGACCCATGGGGATCATGTGTGTGTCAGAAAAGAACTCTGCTACACCAGGCTTTCCATGGCTGATTTTTCAGACGTAGATAACAGATTAGTCTACTCATAATTAATCACTGTTCACGCTTAATGAGTTGAAACTAACTGGACAGCACTTAACAACAACAACAATGAGTTATTTATCCAATATAAACATAGTTTTTGAGGGAGAATGTGAAGCTGTGTATAGTAGTATAAAAGATGATGTAGTGTCATTTTTTTTTACTACAGAGGCATGTAAATTTGGTCAAGTAACAACCTTTTTTTGGTATTAATTTCCTCCTGTTAAATAGGGGAGATTATACTCAGGGCTAGAGAGGTCACAAGCACTGCCTTTAGTGCTGAAAATACATTAAAAGACAAGGCACTTCATAGGTTCTCAGATTTATTCTTCCTTCTATCATTGTCCATTTCTTTTTTCTTTTGTGCATTCACCAGAGCTTAAATTTGGGGCCCTGGGTTTATGATGTTCCTGCACCAGAACAAATCCTATTTCTGTTTTATTTTAGCTACGCTTTGTTAAAACCAGCATTTACTAAGCACTAGAAATGGGGCTAAGCAGTTCACACACAGCTTACACAGAGCAACCCATAGAGTGTATCCACCTAAAATTTACTTGTAAATGTTTGAATCTTAATTGGCACAAGCTCCTTTACTGCAATTTTCCTACTCTACTTGCCCCTGCAAACACTTACTTGGTTTTCACCCACCTTTACTTGGTTTTCTGCTCTCTCATTGGTGGTTGCTATTCTTTCTCAAAGGAATCCTGGTTGTAGGTTAGGCATGGGACTGCCCAGCATAAGATCAGCATTTCACGCCCACCTGTCACTCAGCAGGACAAAGATGAGGCTGTCTGCTTCTGCAAAGATTTATAGTCTCGGAAACCCATAGACTCAATAGCGGTGGGTTTGGTTTTGGTTTTTGCTTCCTTCTCAGCTTTATTTGCTAGCTGTTGCTCCTCTACCAGATTTCTCAGTGATGCAGTTTGTCTTCTTAGTAGCTCTTATACCATCTTAAACAAGTCTTATTTACCTTCCTATTCTCTGTCTTCTAACCTGACAAGACTAGCCTTCTAGATCAGAGACTTGACGTACTGTTAACCACAATCTGTTCCATGACATAACCAAATCCAGGGTTCAGCATCTTAACAATAGTTTGCTAGCTTCCTCTCTTGCCCTTGGAGACATTTGACTTTTAAATCACTCCCTGCCACTGAGTCAATGGTGACTCATCGTGACCCTATAGGACAGGAAAGAACTGCCCCCTGTGAGTTTCCAAGATTGTAGCTGTTAATGGGAGTAGAAAGCCCAGACTTTCTCCCACAGAGTGGCTGGTGATTTCAAATAGTTAGTCTAGCGATTGAAGCCTAACGTGGAACCACTTGGGATCAGGTTTTTAACCACTGCTGTTAAGAAATTGAGCTCTGGTGGTATAGTGTGGGTTATGAGCTGGGCTGATAACTGCAAGATCAGTAGATCAAAACCACAAGCTTCTCTGCAGGGAAAAAAAAACAACCCACATTTTCTACTACTGTAAATATTTACAGTGTCAAAAACACCCAGGCATAGTTTTATCCTGACCTAAACGATTGCTAAGAATCAGAGTTCACTCGATGGTTGAGTTATTTTTTGTTGCTGTTGCTTTTAGTTTGAGTTAAGATGGGGAAAGGTTGAGTTACTTAGCCAGTTTGACATAAGAGGCTGAACTTAGATCCAAACTGAAGCAGCCTGTCCTCAGCACATGCACTTTGGGCCCTGTGTTAGATTATTGCAAGTACCATCATTCTAGATTAGCCCATTGTTGGCAAGTGGATTCTGGCTCGTGATGAGCCCATGTGTTACAGAGGGGAAACTACAGGGTTTTCTTGGAGTGATCTTTATGGAATTGTATCATCAGGCCTCTTCCCCTCCCCTGCTACTGCAGTACAAGTGGGAGGGTCCAACTGAAAACCTCTAGGTTAGTAAAATCCACTTCCATCCAATTTTCCAACTCATAGCAACCCTCTCTAGGGTTTCTAAGACTATAAATCTGTGCAAGAGAAGACAGCCTCATCTTGCAGAGCAGGTGGTAAGTGTGAACCTTCGACCTTGTGGTTAACAGCATTAGTAGTTGAGGGGCCTTTTGTCTTAGGTACTTTTGAAGTAACTAGAATTTCCATTTTGTTGAGGTTTCTGATTGTTCTGATGATGAAACAAAGTTTATTTTAAACAAACAATAATTTGACTAAAATGAGTTGGAAACTGGGCTAAGAGTATAGCTATACATCTGAGTTTCATACAGTACAAAGTTATTAGAACAAAGTGTTCTTGTGTTGAGGGCAGACTTAAGTCGAGGCCAAGGTCTGTCTACTACCTCAGCAGTGCTTTAACATATAAATATATATACATAGACCAATACACTTATCTTTATATATTAATATATTTGCATATATATGTCAATATTTATACCTCTCTATATAGCTTTTACCTGCTCGTTCTTTCCTCTATATCCTTTGCTTGCCTAACTATCATGTTCATCCTTCACTTGACTCTTGTTAATTCTTCTTGGCTGTATTACAATTGATCGGACACCACCAGGCACTCGATACCCTCCTCACCATTGATTTTAGATCCCTTGTT